GTCTACTGATAACATTTTATCACAAAAATCTATGCTAGGATAACCCCTCTTCATTTTAAATTCATAATTTTTGCAAAATATTATTCGTTTTGGGGGATATTGCGCATGCGCGAGCACCGTTTCAGACGTGCAGTACGGCCAAAAGAAAAGTACGTAAATATAGCTGGCTGAGGGATAGAGGTGTGGGACACTGAGGGAAGGTGGCAGGGAAGACAGTCGAGAGGCGGTAGAAGGAGAAGGAGGCTGAGCGTGCGACAATGGAGACAAATGGAAGGGCGGGCGGGGATAAAGTAGGAGTTTGCACCCTACAGTCTATAGGGCGCTCTCCTAAGTATAAACACAGGTGAACTGATGAGAAATTATTACAGAAACCTATGTTGAGATATCCCCTGACAATACTAAATGCGTTTTCATCACAAAATATAACTCATCTGGTGAGATACTGCGCATGCGCTAAAACAGTGACGTAGTCAGGATATGAACTGATTGATATATGCAGCGGGAACCTTACATGCAAGGTCTGCTTCCTATTTCTGAAGTGAGGTCTACCGATAAAATTTTATCATAAAAATCTATGCTATGATAACTCCTCTTCATTTTAAATTCATAATTTTTGCAAAATATTATTCGTTTTGGGGGATATTGCGCATGCGCGAGCACCGTTTCAGGCGTGCAGTACAGCCTAAAAGAAAGAAAGAAAGAAATATAGTTGGCTGAGGGAAGGAGGGGTGGGAGACTGAAAGAAGGCGGCAGAGAAGATAGCTAAGGGGCGGTTGAAGAAGGAGGAGGCTGAGCGGGCATGCGACAAGGGAGACAAGGGAAAGGGAGGGCGGGGATGAAGTAGCAGTTATGCAATCTACAGGCTAATGCGCTCTCCTAATTATAAACACAAGTCTACCGATAAGAATTTATTACAGAAACCTCTGCTGAGATACCCCCTGACCATAGTAAATGCATTTTAATCACAAAATCTAATTCCTCTGGTGAGATATTGCGCATGCGCTAAAACAGTAACGTATTCAGGTTATATACTGACTGGTATATGCAGTGGGGTCCTTACATGCAAGGTCTGCTTCCTATTTCTGAATCGAGGTCTACTGATGGAATTTTGTCATATCAATCTATGCTAGGATGACCCTTCTTCACTTTAAATTAATAATTTTTGCAAAATATTATCATCTTCTCGGGAGATAGTGCGCATGCGCGAGCACCGTTTCAGGCATGCATTGCGACCTAAATAATAGTATGTAATATAGCTTGCTAAGGGAGAGAGGGGTGGGGACGGGTGGAAGACGGCAGGAAAGGTAGCTGAGGGGCGGTGGGAGAAGGAGGAGGCTGAGCGTGCCTGGGACAAGGGAGACAAGAGAAAGGGAGGACGTGGATGAAGTAGCAGTTTTGCACCCTACAGGCTAGGGCGCTCTTCTAATTATAAACACATGTGTAATGTTGATAATTTATTACAGAAACTCATGTTGAGATACCCCCTGACCATACTAAATGCATTTTCATCAAAAAATGTAACTCTTCTGGTGAGATATTGCGCGTGCGCAAAAACAGTAAAGTAGCCATGCTATGTACAGACTGGTATATTAGCAAAAACCTTACATGCAAGGTCTGCTTCCTATTTCTGAAGTGAGGTCTACTGATAAAATTTTATCATAAAAATCTATGCTATGATAACCCCTCTTCATTTTAAAATCATAATTTTATGCTAAATATTATTCGTTTTGGGGGATATTGCGCATACGCGAGCACCGTTTCAGGCGTGCAGTACAGCCTAAAAACAAACACGTAATAGAAAAGGAGGGGTGGGAGACTGAAGGAAGGCGGCAGGGAAGATAGCTGAGGTGCGGTGGAAGAAGGAGGTGGCTAAGCGTGCGACAAGGGAGACAATTAAGGGGAAGGGCGGGCGGGGATAAAGTTGGAGTTTGGCACCCTACAGGCTAGGGCGCTCTTCTAATTATAAACACATGTCTACTGATAAGAATTTATTACAGAAACCTCTGCCGAGATACCCTAAACCATACTAAATGCATTTTAATCACAGAATCTAACTCCTCTGGTGAGATATTGCGCATGCGCTAAACAGTAATTACGTATTCAGGTTATATACTATATCTGGTATATGCAGCGGGGACCTTACATACCAGGTCTGCTTCCTATTTCTGAATCGAGGTCTACTGATGAAATTTTGTCATATCAATCTATGCTAGGATGACCATTCTTCATTTTAAATTAGTAATTTTTGCAAAATATTATAATCTTCTCGGGAGATAGTGCGCATGCGCGAGCCCCGTTTCAGGCGTGCAGTATGACCTAAATAGTAGTATAATCTCATATAGACGATATGTATATATAACATCAGGGGTTAATAATGACAAATTAGTTTAGGCTATCAATCGGGAGTCATTTTTTTATACTTTCTATTTTTTTCATTTAGTGGAGACAAGCACAAAATAATAATACATGTATTATAGAAAGGGCTTATAATTATGCAGAAGCACATGTTCAAAAACCTGGGGGAGGGAGACATTTGATATTGTGTCACCCACCCTTCGAAAAGTGGGGGGGGGAGCGTGTCCCCCGTGTCCCCATGACATTTGCGCCCATGATTATTCTTAAGAGTGGTGAGAATGTTTTACTGATTTATCATGTGTTCAGTGTGCTATTCGAGTGGAGGCCTGTCTGGGTGTCAAGGGATTGGCAGAGATTTCAGGTATGAATTGTACAATGAAGTATTTTGTTTTAAAGCTATATTGGATTGTGTAGCCTTTGGTGACCTCTGTTGACCTTTGCTGACCTCTGACCCGTGACCTCTGGTATCGATGACAACGCCAACCTCCGGCGACAATGATGACCTCCGGTGGCAACGACAACCTCTGGCTACGACGACGACGTACGTCGACTTGCGCCGACAATGACAACCTCCGGTGGCGAAGACAACGACTGTGACGATGACCTCCGGCCCCGATGACGACAACAACGACCTCCATCGACCTCCAGCGGCGACACTTTCCTCGTCCAACAACCTCCGGCAGCGACGACGACAACGACAACGACCTCCGGTGGCGATATATTACCATATACATGTATTACATATTATCCAAGTATTATATATATATATGTATATATTTCAGGAGTTGAATATGAACGAATTTGTGTTTCATTCACTCCTATATATTTCATGTACACCTAACTCTATAACATGAGGTTTTGTTACTCTGCATAGCAGAGCAGTTATCCACATACTGCGTGTACACCATCACTGCTATGTGCTGCACTGCTACAATGGGTGTTGAAGAGAATGGTGTAGGGTTTAAGATGATGTATTTACATATTGGGATAACAGACATCCCTTGCCAGAGAATAAGGTTATCGCTTAAATTGACTGCATCACGAATTTTCTTCTATGTAGAGTATTTTAAAAATTTTGTTGCCGATTTCTTTCTCACATTAAAAGTCAAGTACTAACGGGAACTAAATGTATCGTCAATTTCTTAACCTGATAAATAACTTGTTGTCTCAACTAGTTCAAAAATCCAAAAAAAAAACCTGGTCGATTTGAATGATTATTATCCTGACATTAATTGCTTGCTAATGGCCTATGTAGAGTCACGAGTGTATATTAACATCAAAACCAATATAGGAAATATAGGAAGTATAAAATGCAGCAACTTTAACCATTCAACAAGAGCCGCAGAGCGGCTGGCTCATCTGAGTCTGTGCTACATATTATAAACGTAACATTTAAGTCGTTGGTAGTGACACCTTTTGTTAGGTGCAAGATATGCAGATACGCAGTTGCGTACACATCATTTCAGCAACCTTCTGCATTCTACATCCCTCCCAAA